AACAGAAGTTATGATCTATGATTAGATATATTTTTAGAATAGACTGAAAATATCTAAGAAAGTATACTGCACAATAAAAAGAAGTAATATCAGAAGAAGTGAATTTATAAAGTGCATAATGAATAAACTTCCAACCCTAGAAGAACTTAACAAAAGAAGACCAGATATATATATAACAACAGAGTGCCAAGTATGTCAAGATAAAACAAAAAAAATACAGACATATTTGGCAGCATGTAAAGGACAAAGGAATCTGTAAAAAAAATCTAAAAAGTAACCATCACAATAGTCTAGAAGAGGTTAAAGAAAGAAGAAAAAGTTTAAGTTCCCTTATTTGTATTATATATAGTACTTTTCAGAAAAACAGAAGAAGAAAAAATTAAAATAAGAGAGACATTAATTAAAGGTCTTATTTTAAAAGAAACACAAGACAGATTAAGGCAACTTCTAAGTACAAGATCAAAACAGCAGTTTATGAATATAATAGCAAGAACAGCCTGAAATATATTTTATGAACAAGTATGAAGAATCTGATATAAGAAGATTAATAAATAAGAAAAAAATGAAGGAATAACAGATAAGATAAAAAGAAGAAAAGAAAAAGTAAAAAAAGCATCAAATAAAAAAAGAAAACTAAATCAGCAAGTAATAGAGAAAAAAAAAGAGAAAGTAAAAGAAAAAGAAAAACAAATCAGAAAAAGAAATACAGAAAACAATTTTAGAACTTGTCATAAAAGAAAAAAGATCCTTTTATTATAGACTTTAAGTAGTTAGATAAGCAGCTTACTTTTGCTTGAAGTAATGCAGCAGGTTGCACTTAGGTATCATTAGGATGACTGAGTGATGCTAGGCTTAGTTGTTAAGGATATTTATGTAATTGCAAATGTAATTTTAAAATCTTAATAAAGCACTAACATAACTGCTTAAGAAAAAAAAAAATTATTGTCTGTCTAGTATATTATCTATTATGTGATTGAAATTATGAAGTATAATTACTTCTGTATATCTTTTCCTATTTATTACTACCTCTATGATTTTTTGCTAAATTTTCTTACTGATTGATTTGTTATTTAATAGGATGTATACTCTTAGTACTACTAATTCTAATTATTTAAAATATAATCTTACCTTTAGTATATATTTATTAACTCTTTTAACTGCTTTTACATGCTTTTTCTATTTTTCATTTATTAAAATTTCTATACCTGAGTCTTTTTTCTTGTCTATTACTACACTCATCTAATATCTCTTATACTGTGTATTATAACTATGCAGTAAAAATTTTCACTCTTTTTCTGTAATGTTTGTTTCCATTATTTTTACTATTGTGAGTTCTTCTTTTCTTATCCATTCTAGAAGGTTTTCTAGTTTTTATCTTCTTGTTTTAAGTTTGTTAATGTTGTAACATGCAATTTTTATTTTCTTTTTTCCTTGTTTCTATTTTTTTTTTTAGCTGTTTATGCTTTGTTTTCATGTTTTCTATTTTTGCTTTTCTTTTTTTTCATGTTTTCTCATTATAGCCAAGAGATGCCTCTGTAGTTCTTGCTTTGAAAATTCTTTTTTCACTATACAGAAATTCTTCAATCTTCTGGTCTATGCTCATTAATTCAACTGTAGTGCCATTAGAAGTGGTTAGCAAAGTCTTCTTTATCTTCTATTTTGTCTTATTTTGTTGTATTTCAAATCTCTTCAGTCTTTTGAGAATTTTTTTTAAAAGGTCTTGGTTTCATGTTTGTGAATCTTCTTTTTCTGTTAAATAGATGTGATGCTTCTTTTTATTTTTATTAAACTCTTCTGTCTTCTTTTCTCCTATTACTCTTGTTTTTATACACTTATACATTTAAGTCTATATCTATCTCATTTATAATTATGCACTTTTCATAATCAGCTTTCTCTTTTTTATCTTTTTTTCATTTCATCTTGCTAAAATAGTAAGTAATTGTTAAATCTTATTGGTTTAGTTTGTGCTAACTTTATCTCCTTTCTGATACAAAAGTAATTATTGCAAATCTTCTTTAATTCTCATTTCTGTTTGTTGGCATGTATACTAACTTAGCATCTTTCTTTCTCAAGCATTATAGTAGCAGCACTTCAGATACATTTTCTGAAAGCTTTAGTAACTTCGATGTGTATAAGCTGTCTTGGTCTTGTAAGCTGTAATCTTTATTGTCTTTGGACACTCTTGCTAGTTTGTGTATACTAATTAGTAGGGCTCATAAAATACTTTCTTCTTTTAAACTCTTAGTATGTATTATTGTCAGAACTTTGTATTTGAACCTTTTAATTCATTCTATTTTGGCATTTTTAATGTTTCTGCATATGTGTTCCACCTTTTCTATATTGATATTTGCTAATAGGCCCCAAATTGTTAGATAGTTTCTTGTCTTTAAATCCTCTTCTGTCTAAAGGCTTTTTGTATTCTTAATTTCTGCTTTTGCTTGGCTGGTGTTTTTGTATTCTTTTTTTCTTTTTCTATTTTTACCATTTGACTTTTCTGTTTTATTATCCTTCTTTGTTTCTATTTGTCTTGTACTTCCTTCTTTTTTCTTTTAGTGTTATGCTTTTCTTGTTGTTCCATATTTTGAGTTTTGTTTTTGATTTCTTCTAGTATAAGTTTTAGGTATTCTTCTTTTTTTCTTTTAATTTAGTTCATTGCCACATCTCTATTATGCTTACAATTAAAATCTACTTCTATCTAATTATTTCTATTTTTGAATACCTCTTTGACTGTTTTAATATGATAATTTTTCTTTAGAATCCACTAGATATACTTTATTCTTTCTTTTTTAATTTCTTCTAATAAGGTGTATATCAGTATATTTGATTTGAAAGACTTATTTTTATTATATATTCGATTATCTGAGAACCATTGACTATGTTCAATTAATTCTGTAAGAAATATTGTTTTATTTTCTTCATTGTTTATTTCTTCTTTTTATTCTGTTATTTCTATATCTATAAGTTTCTAATTTTGTTTTTTTGCTTTCTATTGATATTTCTTCTTTAATTTCAAATTATTTATAATTTGACTTGTTTGGTATTGTGATGTAGCAATGCTAAGTTCTTTCATTTGCTTTTCTAGTATTTCTAATTTCTGTTCTAACTTTTTGAAATTGTTTCTTTTTTCTTGGTTCTACTCTCTATTGGTAAATTTCTCTGTTTTGTTAATTTCAACTAAAAAACTTATCTTATCTCTTTAGTTTTCTTTTTGGTATACTTTTTCTTCTTTTATATTTGTATTGTATTCAAATAGACTTGGGTTGTAGTTTATTGACCTTAGCTTTTTTGGCTACTTGTCGATTATTTCTTTCTTAAGCCAACTTATTTTAGTTATTCTTAAGACTTTTAATACCTGATTATAAACTAGTAAGTCTTGTAATATAATGTGTTTTGGATCATAGATTGCTAAATCTTTTGTAATATACTCTATATTACTTAGGCCTTTTGTTAATGTTTTAAGAACTTGATCTAATATTTTGTAATCTACATATTTGCAATTTCTGTCTTCTATATCTTTAATATACTTTATAATATCTTCATTATATGTTTTGATCATTGACTGTTTTATTTTGATTGTTACTATATCATATGCTTATTTTAGTGAACTACTTACTATATGTATTTGTTTATTTACTTTGCTTATTTTCTATACTTTTCATGTAACCTAAATTGATCTTTATAACAAGGTCACAAGGATTTCTCAAAATTTCTACAAAATTTTTTATTTTTGTTGAAATTTTTAATCTTTTCAAGCTATGCTATTTCTGAACTTTTCTACTTGTGTCTTTGTTTTCTAGTTAGATGTAACTTTTGTTGCTCTTCCTTTTTTGTTAAGGATCTAAGTGTTGTTTTCTAATAGGTTTTGTAGTTTTTCTGTGTTTTGCTTCTTAACAGTTTTTGATCAAGAGATCTACAGAAGAGGTTATTTTAACTAATTAATCAAAAACAATTACTATAACACAAATAATAATTTAATTTTTTGTTTTTGATAAGTTTTGTTACTTAGAAAAATAACAACTTATACACTTCACTAAGTCACCACACCTCAATATTTATTGTTATAACAGTCTTCTTTCTGTTTTTTGTTTTAATTAGATGTAACTATTGATGCTTTTTCTTTTTTCTTAAAACTTCAAATAGTATACTTCTAAGTGTTCTTATGTTTTGTTTTTATAACAATTGATTTTTTAAAAATCTTTTTTTTTATCAAATTCATTTCTTTTCTCATGAGAACTTTTACTATTAGCACCCTCAGGTGCGTCAGAATACCTGACCCTTTCTTAACTGTAAAATTTTTAACTTATAAAATTTAGATTATAAAGATTTACCAATAACTTTTAAAACTTATTAAAAAAACTTAATATTACTATATATACTGTAGATTACTTTTAAATCTATATACTACATATTATTAACCTCACGAAATCGTTGGTATAAGCGGGTTGATATCAAGGATTAGAGACCTTTATTTGTATTAAGAATTCTGTTTTATAAAAAATAATAATAAAGAAAGATATTATTAACGGGTGGGTAGACCATATAAAACTTGCACATTATTAAAAAAAATTCTAATCACGCCTATATTGGGAACCAATTATTTTATTGAATTTTTTAAAAAACACCTATAAACACAATTTCTTTCCAAGTACACTTTTAGAAAAAAGCCTTATATAGAGAGAAGACAACCGTAACATTCTCAATAGTAATAGAGCTTGTTTCAGGTGATCATTGTGCTTCAATAGGTTAGAAACATCGATTTGTCACTCAAAATAAGTAATATGTATGCGAAGTCAAAAGTGTTAATGTGTAACTCATTGGCGTATGTATAAACATAAAGTAAACTACGTAGACAAATTGCGGACCCTTAACTTTTTTTATTTTCCGCTTATTACTAACACTGTTAATATAAATCAAGTGTTCATTTTTTCCTTTGAAACTATTGAAAAAAATAAGGTCTTCAGAGTCAACCATTTCAGAGTGAATTTATTTCACCTTAAAAAATGGCATACTTTCCAAATGGTGGACAGATAAATATGTCTGGTGCAACGACTGACTGGCGACTTCTTCTTAGTGAAGACGAAAGAAAGATTAATGTCGGTAGACTTTATAAAGGTCTAGAACTTCTTAATCAACCAAATTTGTACCCTACACATAGATTTCACGCATCGAAACAGTGGGAAAATGATTCTTATAATAGTGCAAATTCCAAGGATGAATACAACCAACTGATTGGAGCAAAGTTACGGGAGTTAACTAATAAAATACAACGAAGCGCTCATATACGGCAGCAGCAGCAGACGCAAAGGAGTGCTACGCCATCGCAACAACCTCAAGTCGCTCAGCAACAGTCACAAGCACAAACTTTATTACCCCAACAATTACAAAATTCACAATCACAGCAATTACAGCAACAAATGCTAACACAAACTCTTCAACAACAGCAACAACCGGTTCCTTCTCCACAGCAACAACAAGTGCAAGCCCAAAGATTCTTATTGCAGCAACGTGCGGTTCAACAACAATTGTTGCAACGACCACAGCAACAGCAACAATTATTTCAGTTGTTTCAGCAACAACAGATTAATGCGCAACAAACGGCAAGACAGCAACAACAAATATATCAACAATTGTTACAAAACCCCGCTTTACAACAAGATCAAATTCGAAGAATACAACAACAACAACAATTACAGAGGCAATCTCAGCAACCGCAACAACAGTTGCAAGCAACGCCTCAGCAAATTGCAGCAGTTCAAGCACAACCGAATAATTTTATTCGATCAGCTGCATCTCAGGTTCCATCTTCTCCAAAGCCCACCCAACCAGGAGCTCATCGACCGAATCTTTTACAACAACAAGTTTTAACTAACTTAGGATTCCCTCCAGACACGCAGTTATCACCGGAAGTCTTGAAAAGAATTAGCGCTCACATGACAGCTCAGGCAATGATGCAACAACAGCATCAGCAACCTGCACAACAGTCGAATGTTCAACAAGACATCACTATACAATCACCTGCGAAAGTTAATCCACAACCTGTCTCTAATGTTGCTGGTCCTTCGATGAAATTACCTAATAATGTGACAATTCAATCTCCTGTTAATCAGATGAAAGGACAAGCACCGTCTCAGAGCCCTGGAACTATGTTCATGATGCCAAATTCGGGACCTTCTATAACCAATTCACTTGGAACTACACCTAACCAATCTCCTGCCATAGTAAATGCATCACCAGCAGCGATATCAAATAAAACGACTCCAAATATGTCTCCTAATACCGCTTCAGCTAAGTTAGCGGCAGCAAATTTAGCAACAGCAAATTTAACAACGCCGCAACTCAAAATACCTCAAAATAAGCTTGTAAGTCCGGCTGTTCAAAATGCCAACGTTGCATCCAATCTTGGAATTAAAGTTCCTTCCGGTGTTGGTATTAATACAGTTCAAAATCTCGGGTTAATGCCTGGTTTTCAAGGCGCAAATGCGACTATTGGACGTCCAAATATAATGATGCATACGACAGCTAATAGCGCTGCAAACGCAAATGCAATTATGTTAGCTGTTAATAATAACAATGCCGTTAATCAAGGAATAGTTACTTCCAATGGTGCCAAAGCAGCAGCAATGATGGCCGTTCAGAATGCTATGTTCGCAAATGCGACAAGACCTTCAATTACTCAACCTCTTAATTTGAACGCTGTTCGTCCGAAATTTCCAATTATGCGTCCCAATGCTCAGATGTCTATTATAAACAATTCTGCAGCACAACCTGGATCACTAGCAACGCTGACTGACAAGGAGGAGAAAGAAGCATTGGCCATGATAAGTCAAATAGATAGTAAAGCTAGGGAAAAGAATATTCAATATCATGAAATTGACCTTTCTGAAGATGAAAAAAGGCAAATAAGGATCAAGTTACAAGAATTGACACCAATGTACAAAAAAGTTGACGAGGTATTGCCATACTTTTGGCATTATACAAGATCAAGTCAAGGGACATATCGTCTATTGGGCATGAAATACATGATAGAAGATCAATTAAATGCTCTACCATCTGGAAAGTTTCTACTCAAACTAGACCTTGTTGAAAATTTATTACAACAATTTCGTAAATATTTTGTTTTCGTGGAAAGTCGTAGAAGAGGTATTGAAGATACTTCTGGATTAATGAACTTTCACCCAGTTGTTCATCCGCAACAACCTCAACATCCAAACGTAGATAGTCTGATCAGACCACGCATAAATTCATCAGACTTGAAACTTCCACCAGCACAGAGACATGCTAATGATAGCTCAGGTACTTCTGGTAGCTCATCAATCCTCACAAAGAGACGTCAGTCTTCAGTTGACCGGGAGGTACGGCAATCGAATAAGAAGCAACAAACCAACTCTAATAGTATTCTTAGCCACTCTACACCTGATGGCTCGGTTCTCAGCACTCAAAATACTTCGGCAACTAATGCCACTAATCAAAACAACCCTATCGTGATTTCAGATGATGCAAAACAAATTTCAGAAACTCAAGAAATAGGCATCTCTGATAAAAACAGTGCCACTACTGAAGATTATCATGCAGGCTCACAATTACTTACGAATAAATTGAAAAATATTTCATCATCACCGCGAGTAATGCGTAGTGGTCCGACAATGGCACCAAGGCAAGGATATTCTCCATGCGAAGAAAGTGAACAGAGAGCTATGTTGGTCTCTTTACTCAACACGGCTTAATGTATATTATTGACATGACTAATGATGACGTTGTCATTGAAGTTCTGAGTAATAATTATTTTGTGGAAATATAAAATTTTTTTTATTCTATTTTATTTTGTTGCACAGCTGCCTTTAACATAATAACTTTAAACATGTAAATAGCCATTTATTTTATTTTGTCTTTATTTTTTGTACCGAGAATTAAATTTTTTCTAGTGCGTAGAAGTAGCAATTAAATGACAATTTTTTTTTTTTTATTTGTTTCAATAAATGAATATAATTTGCTGATGATGTGTATTAATTTGAAACTGCGCATATTTGTCTTGTCGTTATATCATTTGGTCTTTTCGGATAAACTGTCCTAGCGTTACCAACCTAAAAATTTTGCTGCTAGATTAGGATTAGGTTTTGCTTTAATTTAGGTTAGCGTTAGGAAGAGTTTTTTTATTACAAGCAAAATTGTTCCGGCAGATTCTCGACTTTGATTGGCTAAGGCCACTCCAAATTAATTTTCTGTATAACAAGAGTGGGGGAGGGGAGGGGTACGTATAAAAAAAAAAACAAATTAATAATAATACAGTAATTCTATTGGCTGTAAAAAATGTAAAAATTTAAGAAACTAATACTGCAATTTGATTGGTTAAAATAATGTTTTTTATATACGATTTTTTAAACAATTAAAAGTAGAGGGTACATAGATTATTTTTATATAGTTTGATATGGTATTTTGAAATTTTTATATAAAATTGAAATATACTACTTAAAAAACTTCTTTTTTTTTTTTTTGTGTTAAAGGTCATACTTTGTAGTGAAATTTTATTGATTTTTGTTGGAATTAATTATTACAATTATTTTATACAGAGATGAGAGTACAACTAGTTACATATACAACTTTTGGTTGCCTATTTAAGTAGTTCGTTCTAGAGTTCTACATTAGATGTTGTATTTATAACCTACTAGGAGATTATCCATTTAAACATTCTAATTATTTGTTTCCATCATAATATAATATCAACTAACCTCTTGTATATACTTAACTGATATACTATCTGAGCAGTATGATATTTATTTTTTTGTACTGATTCTTAGATCATTACATATTTTAGAATATAACATCTGTTAATAAGATATAGAAGTCTTACTTGTTAATTATCTATTTACTTTATGGATTATTAACAAAAATTATCTTTACAGAGTTTATCTAAATACTAATATTGACTTCATAGCATATCCTTAATACTTTTAGTATATCTCTGTTTTGGTTCTCAAACTACCAATTCAGATAGCTTGAAAAAATTATAATTTGTTCTTGGTATATTAAATTTAGTTCAATATTTTTTTTCTTTAGTTTGAAATCTAATAGTTTGATTAATAGTATCTTTTATTTAAGATTCTTGTCTGCCTAATTCCTTTATATTGATATCTGTTTTCTAGGTTTAGTTTTTATAATAGTATTATTAAAGATTTATACTACCTTTCTATTTTGTATGTCAAATAAGTTTTGGTTTTTTCTAGTTTTACAAATTTATACACTTATAAGAACTTATCTTAGATTTACACTGCCTAATACTAGTTTGTATTTTTCTATATAACCAAGATTATATAAATATCTCATGATTTGTCAGCTATATTAGTGTAATTATACTTATAGATATTTTATCTTAACTAATTGCTAAAATGTCATTACTATAATACTGTCTATGTATTATATAAATGATTATTTAAATTTTCAATATCAGTAGGTTTTAAACTTACAGTCTATTACTTAAAGAGTTGACAACTTATTTACTTTACTAAGTTATTATATCCTATTTATAAAACTTTTTTAAATTACAACTAATTTATATTAAAATTTTACAAAATATAAATAAAATAATTTATTTATTATAATAAAATTTTGAATTATTATTATAATATTTAAAAAATATATACTTAAAAAGATTTGTATATGCTCTTTTCTGAACATATAAGTTTTAAAATAGAATAACTTTTTTTATTAAAAATAAGAACAAATAACAAGACAAAACTAGCTAAAATATTTATTAAAACAAGGACTCTTGTTCTTGTTTCAAAAAAAAGATCTTTTATAGAATCTCAATATATAAAAACTTAAAAATAAAAAAAATAATATTATTAAGTAGTAAAAAAAAAATAAAAAAAAACAAAGAAAATGTATCAAGTTCTTCAAGTTTAATAACTAACAAAAGAAAGATTACTAAACATAAAAAAAGCAAATACTAAAAGAAATCTTTAGTAAAAATTTAAACTAAGACAAATAAATAGAACTAAAAATAGAGAAAATAAAAGCTATTAATAACCAAAAAGTAAACAAAACTAATATATTTAAAGATACTATAAATATAATAACAAATAATACATCTAAAAAACAAATAATTAAACAATACAGAAAAAATTAAAAAATATAACAGAACAGAAACTAAATATGACAAAAAACTTACAACACAAAGGTCTAAAAAATATATTGTAATAGAATTTACTTTTTTTTATATATTATTATATATTTATTTTTAGCTCTATATTATATTTTATATTTTTTTTAATATTTTTACATAGTTTATAGATTATTTTATTAGTTTTAATCATCTATTTAATAGATTAATATTTATTTTATTAGTAGATTTCTTATAGTATTTTATTTTAGCTAATAGTTATTGGAATATCTAAAAATACAGTTGTTTAGTATTACAAGAGCTCTAACCAAAGGCTTTAGGTCATGTTCCAGATGCTTCAGATGCCTTAGGACATTCTAAAATGATGGAACAATTAATTTAATTATAATTAATTAATATTTATTATTATAATACAATATTTACTATAATATTACTATATAGTTTCTATGTATTATTATAGTTCTTTTTAGTTGTGTTTAGGAAAACATTTATAAAAAGGCTTCTAAATACTAAATAATCATAGAAAGTTTTGTAGATGAATATATGAGCTACACAGTAATATTTATTTTATTTTTAGTTAATATGTAAGTTATTGCACAATGGAGTGCCAAGCATTAGTAAAAAAGAAAAATACAGGATTGGTTTATCATTTGTGCACAAGTATTATTGATGAAATGCACATGAAATTTCTTAATTTCTGCTACATTTTGGACATCCATATGGTTCAAGATGATGCTACAACACATGGTAGCTCTAAAACTAATTAATTATTAGATTAAAAGCTATAAAAAGGATAGCTTTTTGCCCTTTTAAAAGGACAGTTCTTAAATAGCTTCTAATAGTTATTAAATAACTCTTAATAGTTCTTGAAAGTTCTATTTTTATATATATAAAAAGCTTTTTGTAATAATTGTTTAATCAAAAACTCTTTAATAAAATAACCTTTAACTACTATTCTTTAAATATTATTTATAAAAACTATTCTTTATT